GGTGCAAGATGGCGGCTGCCTGTAGTGGCTACCCGCGACCATGGAGATATAAACAGCTTTTTATAAGGTAAAATAATAAAACAAGGTCTTTGTCTGCAATGYTTAGACATGTTTTTTATTATTGTRGTTAGTGATTATCTCAATTTCGGCTAAAAGAATTAACAAAATCCTACACACTGTGCCTTTAAGAAAAAAGTGCAGAACTTAAAGATCTTATTGTTCCATATTTTCATAACAAAGTAGTTTGCGGCRGGGAAAGATTCTCGGATGCATCTTTGGTTTTCAGGATTTTGTGGTCTGCATTCCTCAGCTGCATGAGGAATTGGGACAGCATTCGGCGCGAGGCAGTGACGAATGCGGCTGACAAATGCACACTTGAGGATGCAGCTAGTGATTTAAGACACAGCCAGTGGGTTGTGTTTCTTTCCATAGCCCCATCTCCAATCAACCTTGCTTTATTGTATCATGGCCCTAGTAGTGTTTGGATTGAACAATGCATTTCAGTGCACTGAGTGCCACCTTGATGTGAGCTGGGATAATAACATTAGTAGTATTTAATTTTATTTGCAATACAACAATAATGCACTATACCAAACTCAAAGTAAAAATACCGAAGTCTGTATCAGACCATCCATTGTGATGCTTATGACAATAGGGCAGGACGACAGAACAGTAAGCTAATACGTACATAGTAACTGTTGTTAGCTTGWTGTTTGGTAGCTTGCTATAGTTGTTCTGATAATAAAGTGGCATGAAAAAAATGTTACAGTTGCTGCAGATGGTTCATAAAATGGTAATCTCATCTGTGTGACATAACCCTCCTTCCATAGAGAACCAATCAGTGATCAGCAGTCACTGACATCATTTAGGGTCAGGTCAATGGTCTCGAGGTTCCAGAAATTGAGGTGGACCTGGGTCTTATGGCTAATGCAAATACGCTGAACCCGGGTTTGAAGCCAGGCTGACCCGGGCCTGGCCTTGCTTCGCAAATGCACTGTATGTGTATATATCACATTGTCATAAARGCTCAATTACCTGTATTTAGATTTGAATTTGAATACGAATTGCATTTATGCTCATAACTTTGTAGAGTCCCCTGTTGTGGCGTATGTTGTGTATTGGTGTTGTATAATTAAACTGAACTGAAAATTATAGAATCATATTGTGGTATCTAGTGATGAACAAATCCCTTCCAAGCAGAGTGGGATTTAAAAAAAATATAAATGTTGAATTGTTATCCCTTTAGGTAGGAAATTTCAAGTAGGCAGAGCTAATTTTATAAATAATGCATAGGGTGAGTTTYGAAGCCATTTTCTAATCACACTAAAGACCCCGTCTAAGAGGGAGACCTTGTGCCTTCATCACAGAAATGTTTTATGAAAGATTAGACATATGGTGATGCAGGATGAMATTGCCAAAATTATTAAACAAAAGATTTGATTTTTAGCCAACACCTTATTATTTCCTATTGTTGAATAACAATGTTGAGCCTTGAAACTCCTATCGGATTAATTTTTGTATGACTGGCATTCCTTTGTATGTACATCAGGAAAAAAAAGTTTTTTTGTCTTGTATTTGGGTGGGGGAGTGTTCTTTGAGCCTGCGGTCTTTTGCCAAAATGGTCTCAAGGAAAGTTTGCTCTTCACATCTTCTGTTTACGGGTCATTAAGAAGTTACATCCTGGAAAATCTCACATTCAAAACTCCTCAAATTGCAAGTGAACTCATTATTAGTTCCTTTTTTTCAGTACTGTCTTGCAGTCTTTGTAATCAGGAGCAATTAAAATAAAGTAACAGATGGATACTACATTATTGCCAAGTCTTATTTAAAAAACATTTATTAGAGCAAGAAAGAACAAAATGTCATTATTTTGACACCCCACTCACAGTTCAAGAATAACGATGTGCATTATTTTAAGTTTGGGATAAAGCCAAGAGCCAAATACTAGTTCAGAACAGCACAGTCCTGCAAATGCTTTATTTTATTTTATTTTTTATTTGTCCTCAAGAATCCCATCATTCTACCAGGTGCTGTTTTCTCATTTTTCATCATGTGCCTCCTGTTAAGGTTCCAACAGCTGGGATGATTTTGGCAAGCCAGCTTCATTTGATACCTCACCATTTGATTTCTGACCATTTTAGTGTTATCTTACTTTAAGACCATTTACCCTGCATATTGGCAAACAACTCTTCTTTGAAAGTGTAMCCCATGTTAAGTGTAAGTCAAACTAATTGCTGATATTTTTACATATAGTTTAATACAAACACCCAATGTTGAGTAATGTTTCTTTGAGGAAGTTTGTGTTTAAATGGTTTACATTATTGAATATTACTCAGAAAGAGAGCAAACAGATGGGCTTCTCTTTGCTCTCATTGTTTCCTCTGAGTTTTCTTCCACATCTTTCCTCGCTTCCATCATGTTTCCCATTATGGTAAAAGAAAAATGTTACAAAAAAAAAACAACCCCCTGTTTTCTGAGTATTTTCATGTGTTCCAAACTGATATGCTTCATATTTTTTTGTGTGTGTTTGATTGCTCCCCTCTTTTTCTGTGTCCGGTGAGATCAGTTGTCATATTATCAACTCTTTGTATGCTGTAACCCCAATTAGATCACCAGATTAGTTGTTTTTTTTTTGTTGGTTTTTGGCTTTCCTCTTTTCCCATAATTGATTCTGGCTTTGGGAATCTGCAATGTAATGTGTTTGTTTTGGATTTTAGAGTTTTTCTTTTGTTTTGCCTTCATAATTGCTAACCTGTCTGAGGTCTCATTTGCTCACAAAACTTTGGAATTTGATTTTTRATATGTGATGTAAAATGAATTTATTGTTCTCTTGACTATTACATCAAACTTCTTCAGCATGAGCATGTGTTTATAAAACATATATATGTGGTTGAATCACTTTGATTCCACCAGGTAAAGAAACTTTACACAAAACATCCATCCATCCATCCATCCATCCATCCATCCATCCATCCATCCATCCATCCATCCATCCATCCATCCATCCATCCATTTTCTTCAGCTTATCCGGGATAGTGTAGCCGGGGCAGCAGCCTAATCAGAGAAACTCAGACTTTTCCCTCCCTAGCCACTTGGGCCAGCTCCTCTGGGGGAATCCCAAYGCTATGAAGTGCCGAATWATGCCCGAGGCACCTCAACTGGCTCCTCTCAATGTGGAGGAGCAGCAGCTCTACTTTGAACCCTGAATCCCTGATTGTACTGTTCCAACCTGATGTGACCTAACAAGTGTAATGCTAAAATTTAGTGTGGCAGTTGTAAAKATCAACCTCAACACATACTCTTGAGTGTTAACAGATTACACAAGGACAATGCATTCCTTTAAAGAATAGGGGGTTCATTGTTTCCATTTGGCAGTAGCTGCATTAGATATGGCACAGATGTTTTCGACAGAAAGTCTTACAAACTGCTCAGCTTGTCTAAACCAAAGCAGTGATATTGTAAACTCAAATCATTTTTTCCAGGATTCTTTTTTTTTCTTTTGGTACCTCATCTTGGTTAGGGTTAGGTGAACAAAAAAAAAGGATTAGGGTTGTCATGCTGGATGTCCTTTTCTGATGCAACCTGGTCTTGAACCTGCAGCCTCAGGTTTATGATTGGCAATGACCACTGACCTACATTTTCAGATGTAAGACTAATAAAATAAAGTGTTTTTTTGTTTTGCATACTTACTTTATTTAAACATAGATATAATTTCCATTGATTAAAAAAAATAAGTTTAAACTGATATTTTTTACAGCGTGTCACATCTGAAAAACCTCCACCCCCCTCCGTTTAATCTCGCCCGTGAGTGGCTCATTGTGCACGTCACTCAAACTATGTGGGCGGGACTCAAACAATCCACTCGTGCTCCCCCTGCGCTGTGGACTGTGRAGCACAGCAGAGCAGGAGCAGAGCAGACAGGCGTACAGGAAGGACAGCGTTTATTCATTCACCAGAGGAGCACGCGTCTCCCTCTCTGTGTACGGCTGTGTATTGTTATTCTTATTTTTTATTTTTTTATTTTTTTTATTTTCCCAGAGTTCCACAAACTGAGCGTTTCCTCTAGGAGCTGCATTCCTGACAGCATCCAGAATACTGTATCCGAGGAGCAAGATTTTTATTTTTTATTTTTAATTGTTTATTTTTATTACCTTAAAGACAGTCTGCGTGTCGTGAAGACACTTGTGTTTAACCCCGTTCCCCCCAGAGACGCACACAAGGCGCACCGACTCTTCCTCTGGCAGGTCCACCTGGATAGCTTCAATAATAAGAAGGGGGTCCGGTTCGGTTCGGTCAGGAGTCCAGAGAGGGGAGACGGAGAGGAGAAAAATAACGCAGAGGACCGAGGAAAGAAGAAAGAAAACGGCAGGATGAAGCTGAAGAGTAATTTGATTTTCACCCTCTACACTGTTTACGGGATTCTTCTGAAAGGTGAGCTTTGAATGAGTGGCGCGCGTGCGTGACGCGTGTGTGTTGTGCGCGCGCACATGTTCCAGACCAACTGTGGGGGCAGGATGAGTGAAAGGGGTGGGGGGGAACGCGCGGTCACACACGCGGGTCCTTTCCTGGCACAGAGATGATGCGCTTTCTCTCGAGCTGTTACACACACTCTCACACACGTGCACGCGCATTACACACACGAGTTTATTAATTAATTGATTGATTTTTACTTTATTTTCATTGAGACGCACTAGCCCTGTGCCCTTAATGTGTTTGTATGTGCGTGCGTGTGCAGACGTGCGTGATGCGCACACAGAGGACAGGGCTCGTTCTGTTTATTTATTTATTTATTTATTTATTTATTTATTTATTTATTTATTTATTTATTTATTTATTTATATTTAATCCTGGGGTTCTTTTGGATGTGAACGTGTCCAGAACTGAACGCACTGACTGGACGCGATAGAGGCACGTCGTGACGCCTGGGGCGTCTCGTGCCACATCCTGTTCTGTCCGGTGCGCTAACAGACACACCTCAGAATGGAAGCGCCGAGCCCGCGGCTGTTTATGACTTGCTGCTGCTGCTGCACTTGGATGAGCCCAGAAGTCACTGGAAGCATTTTACGCGCTGAGCTGTTTGGTGTTGTGGAGTCTGGTGGAAACCAAAAGACACAAGATCCTTTTTTTTTAGACATTCACTTCTTATCTTATCTTGGAGAGAGAGAGAGAGAGAGAGAGAGAGAGAGAGAGAGAGAGCATAAAATAATTTAGGACTTTGGGATTTGGGAATACCCCCAATGCAATCCCTAAAGATCAATCTCCAATTCTTAATAGTTTGTTTACTGGCGTTATGTCCTCTCGCACTCCAGGCTATGCTTCTTAATATGACTTTTCTGTTTAAGTTAATAAAGACTTAAAGGGATATACTGGGACTGTTTTGATCAGTCTTATTATGAACAACTGGCAACATTTAAATGGCAGGTGGTCCAACTGTAAACAAGAGGGAGGGAGGGGGAGATGGTTAGGGCGTGGAAGATGGGGTACAAGGTCACTGTTGCTCAGCGGCACAATCAACTAATTAACTGTTTGCAAAATGTCTCACTGTGTTTCACTGACATGCTTTAAAACAAATGTGAACAGATAAAATATCTTGGTAGAACTCTTGTTGCTGAAATATCCTTTTTGTTATTTTTCATTCTCTGATTAAAATCACGTCAATATCTCCGTATAAAACCACAGTTTTGCTCCATAAAAACTAAATAAATAAACAAAAAAAAGGGCACGTAGAATTATATTGGGCCAATAAGGAAAACCAAACGTGAAATTTCAACAAATTTACAGCATAATGTCTCAAAACACTTTTTTTTTTTGTGCTGGATGGCATTCAAGTCCTGAGCTATCCAAAGAAATGCCACAATACTTAACCAAATGTATGAGAGACGAAAAAGAGGAAATACAGCCATTTGGCTTTCATGATTAGTTTAGTCTGATTTAGTCCCCTCCACTGTCAAATACTATCAAGATGTTGAGTGTTTAAGATGTTGGATGGCATTTTTATGACCATGAAAGACAAAATTAGCATCATCTTGACTTTAAGCGCCGTTCTCCACACGAGCAAAAGCAAAACTCTCGATAAGAGATCATTCGGGCTTGATTCTGCCGATCGTTTGTTGTTGCCCCCCTTTGAAGTGTGCTGCATGTGTGTATGTGTGTGTATGAGACAAAGAATGGTCCTTCCTTAATAACCAGACATGATTAAGGCCATTCTTGACTTAATGAATTGGTATGTAATGAGGTATCTTWGGGTGTATCTGTCAGCTTCCACGGCACAATGTATTGACGTTCTAGAGTCTTTCTTTCCCTCTGTATTCTCTTAAGGATGGCATGCTTGTGATGAATGTGTACGTGCATATGACTGTGTGCTCTGTTTGTATAGCTTATGTTTGAAGAGGCCTAAGCAGCCTGCGAACAACACACACAATCACACCAATCTTTTTCCCTCTTGTCTTAACCCTGAAGAGGATAATACCAGGCTGCCTGATTTGAACAGTCATCTGTTGGCTCGAGACCTATTATTGCATAGGTTCCACGCAGCAGGCAGGTCAGCCTCCTTCCGAATGAGGTCCAMCAGAGACAAAGTCGCAGTCTATCCTTGCACTCCAGTAAATGACAGCTGTTTCAGACCCTCTGGCCTCGAGCCAGCTGGCATCGGGAGATCCGAAGACACTAAATCTCCGTCACAAGCTAGACCTGCCCGATGTACTGTGCGAACGGGAGGCGTTGTGACGGAGGTTGTTGTTTACCAACAGCGCGAGTTGTTAACATATTATCCCGTGTGTCTCGTGTGCCCGAGCCGTAGACCAGAGAAAACAGCCTGTTATGCAAATGGGCCTCTTACGTAAGCGCTCGGGGCTGAGCGGTAGGCGAGGGGAGGCAGAGAGCGACACAGAAGCAGGGAGATGTGCTAGAATATAGGAGTTGATATGAGAGTAATGTGGGAGCGGAGGCGTGGAGGAGGAATGCACAATCTCCTCGAATAAAATGTGTTTGTGTGTACGGTGTGCGCCGGTTGCTGTTTACTCTATGGATGCTTGTTTATCGCCGCTGCTCTGTCTGTTTCCTGTCGCTTTGCCTGCTTGGCAGTTGGTCTGTTCTGAACTCTGATCTTGCGAGCCTAAATACAAACTCCCGCTGAGGGATGTGTTTATCCCCACAGTGAGACTAAGCTGCTGAAGGCTGACCCTCCATCCCTCTGTACTTCCGTCCATTCCTCTCTCGCTTCATCCTCCCATCCTGGCGTGGAGCTTTGTACCACAGCAGCGTGGGAAAGCTACTGATAACAAGCGGCCTTGTGTGCGTGTGTGTTTGCAGAGCCACTGATTGCGCGGGGAAAACAAGATGTTCCCGCTTTCTTTTGCTTASTTTTGATCTCCCTCCCTTTTCTGTCTGTGTCTGCAAGTGTGTTCGTTTCCATATCACACATGGATGCCACTCAGCACCTCGTACACTTGCCATGAAACTTCGGCACTGAGAATCAACTGGCTCGATGTGCACATAAAAAATAAAACAAAAACAAAACAGACCCACGTGATGCTCCACTGTGGGTTCACTGCAGCCCAGCCAAGGGATTTCCCATGATCAAAGCCAGTCTTTTGTTAGTCCAGGTGTTTAAAAAGTTAAAACAGAAAGGAGGAGGAGGAAGCTGAAGGGGAATGTGGTGGGATTCAAAGCTTACAAGCTCTTCATGGCAGAGCCAAAAGGTGCTTGTCCAAAATGGCTACAGAAACTATTTCAGTGATGCTTGTTTTCTGCTTGAGTAAAACAGAGAATTTAGGCACGTCATAAAAATGCACAGTTAAAAATACATTGTGTTTGGCTGTAGTAGCTTACTAGAAAGATATTAAATGACCAAACCAGATTGTGCAAATGTTCTGACCTTTTTTTCCCAAATTGAGTCTCCTCACTGAATCATTTAGCTTCACAAACCTTTTTTTGTTTACACCTTGCAAATATTCATTTTAGAACACAAACTACATAGGTTTTTCTGTTTTTCWTAATGACAAACCTCAGAAAATAAARGTGAATTATGTGTTTAAARGACTAAATGTGCTTCAGCATCTCACATAAAGCAGGAGTCTCCTTGCCTTCCCGAGTGAACTGACATACCAGCTGAGAACATGACCCTGCAGTGAGTCGGCTGCCGATGTTTCGTATAGAACTTCAAGGTTCTGAGCCTTTGCTACTGTGTGGGAGCACACATGTATCACCTCAGCTTTAAAGCAGGTATTCTTTTMACTGAATGTTGAGCTACAGGGCTGCACCGATTCTCGCAGCTCCTGAACAAGATAAAAGAAAGTCTTTATAGGATAAAAAGTTGTATGACAACAGTYACACTTTGGCTTTTGAACTGTTGCAAATCTCACAATGTTACAAATAAGTAAAACCTTCAGAATTATTCTGTCAAGCTTAAATTTGAGAACACAGCGTTATTATAACCCAGATGTCATTTTATAATAGAACCATACACTGTGGGTGCTCGGAGCTAATGGCTCCCCACTAGTTACAATCACAGAACATGTCAACCACGTTTCTCTTTGCAAAGAATTCCTGTTAAATAAATGTAGATTTATTATTTTTTTAGTTTTATTTTCTCATTTTGGCATCAAGTCTGTGTTTCATATCTTTAAGGCAATGTGTTATTTTGAATCAGCCCAGAGCAAGGAGGGGAGATCAAATGCTGCCTCCCATAGAGTACGATAGGAACATAAGCCCACAGGTGGATTCTGCTGCATCGGTGTCATCAACAGACAGCGAGTTTTCACCTTAAGACCTCCAAYCAGGTGAAATCAGTGTGTAAGCTCAACCAGCTAACAATAGCTGATGGCCCTTTTTCACCCCATTGTAGCTTTTTTATTAATATGAGATGTTTTTGGTCTGATAATACGGTTTTTTTTGGCAATTTGCACAACATAAGAAATTATATTTGTTTAAGTCCAATATTAGAAAATATAAGAATGTTCTTCATCAGAATAAATAATAGATTTACTGATTTCTAATGATGTGGAAGTGAAAAACTTGCTCTGTGATGGACTGGTGACCTGTCCCAGTAGCATCTGATCTCTTCTCCTTGACCAGAGATACAGGTGCTAGCTCCTTTTGATCCTGTCAGAACAGYTGAGAATTAATGGATGGACGGGAGGTTTTCAGTTGTGTAAAATTCTCGACCCATCACTTGCATTGTCTTAGCTGCTTATCTTCAGATTTTAATTGTTGTTTATCCCAAAAGCTTATGCAGTAAAAGTTAATTCAGGGGAAATTATTGTAAAATAATAACTTAACGCCTAAATGTTAAACTTTCCACCACTGGCGGCACAACAAATATTTTACTAAATGACTTTTCCTTTTTTACAAAGATCAATTTGTACATTTGTTGCACCCAAGTGAAACAAAACCCCWGCGTGCAAAACTACTGAACCTTCTGGAAGTTTCCT